ATGACCTAGGGCTAACTGAATGGGGAAAGGGGCTGAGGAGTCAAGCCCCAAGTGTGTCTCTGACATGGGAAGATCACTGGCGTTTCAGGACAGATTAGTTGATTTTCTTGTTTCCTGCATGCGTCTTAGTGCATCGTCATTATTATTGACTGGTATTTTTTACTGCCATAGGTAACTTCCAGGACGTGGACATCCTCCTCCACAAACACATTCCGAAGGAACGCAATGAGTGAGTGGGAGAAAGGCTGGTTTCCATTTAGTCTGCTCTAGGCCCAAATATGCCAAGATCTCCTAAGTCAGGAGGTGTCAAGATAAGTCATTCCACGCTGAATTTAAAGGCTGTTCATATTCTTACTGTTTTGGGGGTTAATTTTTCTGTCACTCATTGTAATATCTTCATAGAATTAATTTCAGCATAGATGCTCATAATCTACAGGGGGTCCAGACCTGACTTCCCCACAGTTTGAAATAGGTACCACAGGCTCATGCCTGCATTTTTTTCTAAGTGTGCTAAACACCACCCTGGCAAAGTCTGGAGAAATCAGCTTAGGCCAGCTCTCCTCCTTCTCAGAATTTAAGCCTTCTCCATTCATCGATATTACCTGACACAGCATAATACACCAGGAGGACCATGGCTTGCAGGAAGCGTTTTCACTTCAAAATGTGTTTGATTTCATCATAACAAACTTTTATAAAAGAGACTCCTGGTGACCTCCCCTGAGCAGCAGAACGTCTGAACTGCATGGCCGAGAAAGGATTTCCAAATTGCAACAGGGAAAGGGCAGTGAGCACACCAGTGCAAGGCCCACAGACTTAGGACTATAGGACTTTGTAAGGAGAGATGACACCTGTCTTGATAGAAGTAAAAGCACCACTGGAGCCACAGAGCTATCTAGTCCCACATACAGCTATTAAGAAACTTACTGTTTTCCTAGTCTAACCTTTCACAGCACACTGCAGCTGTCCACAACGCATCACAAACCATATTTAATGAAAGGCTACTAATGAAACTGAAAACAAGTATGTTTCTGAGATGCCACTAAAACCTGCCTTAAATGACACCAGCATGAGATGATAACAAACAATTAAAGAAAAAAAAAGAAATTCTGTGAGCAAACTTTACAAGAACTTAACTCTTCCAGCTGTACAGAAAGTTTAGCAGGTTTAGGATAGGATATTGGCAGAGCTGAGATGCTACATTCAGCTTCCTAAACTGAGGCCACAGAAGATCACATTGCTTCATTGAGAAATAGCAGATAGTTTAGTGATTTCCAAATCTGCTCTTCAAGTTGGCTTAATTCTACTGCCTTCAGAGATGATGAACAACATATTTATTTCAACATACTTATTTCAACTTCTGACTCGCAGTAGGCTGGAGCTTACACTAAGTTAAGGCACAGGTATAGAGGGTATGGCCAGCTGTTCCCACTGCAATGCAGAACAGTTCTCTCCTTGTTCATATCGAAATTATCAGACCAGTATCTGGAAGGGGCACAAAACCCAGTAAGTCAGATCTCTGGACTCCCCATTGATATAAAGACTACTGCACAGGGTACTACCCTTCCATCTAAGCACTGCCAGGGATGGTTGCTGCGAATGTTCACATATGCCTGAGGAGGCCTTTTAAATGGACGCTACCTGTGGCCAAGCTGGCACTTCCATGGCGTGGGAAACTGACCCTGCCTTTTGTATGCTTGATATATCACAGAACCACACATCCACAAGTCCCGCAGATACAAGCACATATGCAAGTGACAACCTTCATAACTTAATGACCACTATCTGTTCAACACTACGCACTATTTGGAAATTCCAGATTATTACTCACATAGTATCTCAATTCTGAACACGGAGTGTGTGAGCTACATGTGCACCTGTGATTGAGCACCTGCATGTGTACATAATCCCATTTTGCAAACGTGGTTATTTGGTAATGTCATCCCAAATAAATGTTTTGACAGGCCTTTGCTCTTACATCACTCCTAAAGCAGGAAAGGGAAAAAAACAAGACAAAAGTAATGTTTTCAGTCCTCTTGGCAATGATGTTCTTTTGACAGCACTGAGTTTGATAGGACTTTATCAGAAGCTCAAACGCTTCACAGGAGATAGAACAACATAAGTGTGTACTTAAGGCATATTCAGAGAATCACAGAATGGTTTGGGTTGGAAGGGACCTTTAAAGATCATCTAGTCAAAACCCTGACATCTCAAGGGAATATTGAAGAAGGGAATTACAAAGAACTGCCCAAGAAAATGCTACTCGATTGATACTAGGAAGATGATTCATTGCTTACAAAGAAAATTCTCCCTGGGGCTATACTTCCATTTTTATTAGGTGGGAAGACCAGATGAAAGAACAGAAAATGCTGCAGCAACAATCGCTAACAGCCCACTGAAGAAAACACACACCCACCCTGCAGCTGGCTGCAGCGTGCTTTTCATGGACATGCGATCTCTTGGGGTGTGTCTACATGTAGATGGTTGGGATAGTTCAGGGGAATCAAATACAGACATGACATTAAAGCTCAGAAAACCCTTCATGTTCTCCATCAGAAATAAAGGAAATAAAGCAGTATGAAGTCTAGTGCAGAGGGCTGTGAACTGACTGACTGTGCTCCACAACAGCAAGACGTGAACCAGCAGTGGCCCAAAAATCCAGTTAGAGATTGTTTCTAGAGCATCTAAGCTGGCTTCTCTTCATTCTTTCCCAAGCTGCAACTGTAGCTTTAAATTCTCCATTTATGAGGCAGATACAAATTACCCTGTCATTCCTCACAGGCTAGGAGCTAGGAGGCTGGGTTATTTTTTTTTTTTTTTCCCGCCTATTTTTTTGGAGAGGAGAGAAAAAAACCTGGCTTATTCATTTTTTAAATGACTGGGTAGCATGTTCCTATGTCAGAAGTTCAATAGTAATTTAGAGATGGACACAGAAAAACGCAGACTGGCAGCTCACAGCCTTGAGAGCACAAGTGGTCAGACCCAAAAGGTTTATTGTCAAGGTGACTTGGGCTAAAAGACCTGTAATGCCTACTGTGTTTGAGAGGCAGCAGCACAGTATCATCTACAGGATGTACAGGCTGACAAAATTTGGAGAATTTTAATACTTCAAATTATAAAACTCATATGTATAAAAACTCAAATGTTCATCTCAAAATTAGGCCACACCTTGCAAGTGACAAACCCTGAATTTCTGAGACTCCAGAAAAAAAACTCTGTGACTGTAAAGCACTGCCCTTCTTTTGTCATATGGATCTGGTTTCAGAAGTCACTCAAAAGTGCATCTCAACTGTCAGTGCCCCTAATGTTCCTGTTTACTTCTCAGTGTTCCTCTAAAACCCTCTCAGATGCCTGTTCTGAAAAATGAAGTAAAGCATGTTGAACTGATCCTTGCAGCAACCTCAGAGAAGTCCAGAGAGCTCACTCACAATTGCATGTGTCACAGTGTTCACTGAGGACTTCGGTTCAGCGGGGCCTGTGATGCCAGATCTGCATGGCAGCGTATTCTCCAGCTTGTCCCACAGACTCACCGTTCCCTGAGGTCTACGGACACGGAGCAGGTGCTGACCCCTTGTATCTGTCTCTCATATACTGAATCTTCAACTCAGATTTTATCAAAGGATCCACAGTGATCTGTTGCAGCAGGACTTCCTAAACCAGCAAAGAAGAGGCAGGATTTGGGCTGTCCTGCATGTTTCATGGTGAAATGACATTTGAAGATATAAAGAACTCAACACAGTGATACTGAATCTCAAAACTACACGGGACTGTTTCCCCTTCCTGACTTCCAGATTTTAACACCAATGTCTCATATAACAGAAAATACAAAGGTTCTGATATCTCCAGTGCCAAAAGTTTCTGCATTAAAAATGAAACCTTGCTATTCTTTGACAGACACAGAACCGAAATGACCCTCTCCCACATCAGGAGATGGGCTCATTAGTGCAGTATTCATTGGCAGTTAAGCACCAAGGAAGAGAAAAAGCTGACCTTGCAGCCACAATGCATTCATTCAGTTACTTTGGTGCTCATGTCCTCCTCTGTATAGGACTTGCCCAGAAGCAGTTAAGGTATATACAGGCAGTTTTTTAAGCTGCAGCATATTGGAAGAAAACTGAAAGCAATAAGGAGTTCAATGCAGCTCAGAAACCATCTTGCACGATTACTCTGTCTTCACGAATCAAGTCAGGCACAAAGGGAAATAGAAATAACCAAGGCTGGAGCTTTGAGCTTCAAGAGAGTAAAAGAAAAAAAGTCTGTGCCCTCTTTTCCAAGCACAAGTGAACAACTACATTAACTAAAAAGAGTGCTTGGCCCCATGCACTGTGCCATATTGACAACAGCAACAGCAGTTTAATCAAAAAGCCTCTATTGGCAGAGCATGGCACCTTGATGGTACCTTTTAATTCATAAACATTCCTCCCACAGAGGGATGAATTTGTGTGTTAGCTTGCAGAGAACCATCTTCCCTGCTGATGTAAAAACCTAAAACTCCACTGCAGTCTGATGAGCTGTACTAGTAATTACTAGCAGGGAGTCTGTCCCGAAATCTCTGGGTGCGAACCAGGGCACACTTAAAAAGTTATTTTCTCACTCTGTCACTCCCACCCTCATCTGCCCATCTCCTGGACTAAATTACAAGAAAACTGACTCTTCTCCATCATTCCCATTACTTAAGTGATCTTAAATTATTCAAACGACTGGTTAAGCTCCAGTCTTATTAATTCAAGCAGAAAGTGTGGAAGAGGGAAGACTGACAACACACACAGCAATTCACTTCCTACATCCTAGCAAATATATACAAGGAGTCCATTTTCCAGAAATTCAACTGGTATGTATTGACAGCGAGCAGAGCGCCCAGCTTTGCTGACTGCATCACACAAAGAAGATGCTATTTCAAAAGAGTGCCAATTAAGAAACGGTTGTGTGAAAGGCTATGTGACCATGTGGATATGTTACAAAGGGCTTCTCCTTCACTACAGAGCATCTATCTATCTTCCTCTCCATATAGATACACATACACACACACATAGACAGATGGATAGATATAAATACATGTGCGCACACACACAAACACACATACATATATATATATTTTTATATATATATATATTCTTTTCCAGTTCTTGGAGTGGTTACAACTATTTTAATCTACAAGGCATCCTAAGGGCACTTTCTGGCTCTAGCAATAAAGTCCATCATATTGTGGAGAGAAGTAAAGGGAATATCGTCACAGGAGAAGAACAGAACAGTTTCCTGTCGTGTATAACATCATGTAACAGGTCGACACCTCTGAAAACTATCATTGATGTTTCTGAGCCCAGATATTTTCTCCCTGTGTTCCAGGAGGGCAAATGTTCATCTTGTTCAATTGCTGTGTACAGAGGTGCCACTAGGTGATTTTTCCCTTTTTGGTGGATAAGTAGTTGCTTCCAAATACTTTGAACTGTATGATATGATATACTAAGCATCATTTTTTGTTGGTTTGTTTAAAGGGAGATTAAAAGAGTTTTGCTTTTTTCTTCATGTCGTTGCGTCTCCAGAGAGGTAACTTGTCAAACTCCTGTATTGTCATGCCAAATATTTCTTGAAAAACTTCAGGTGCTAAGTGACGCTTTAAAACAAAAAAAAAAAAAGGAGAAAAAAAAAAGGAGAAAAGGCAATGGTCAGTCAACGCCAAAGAGATGCAACAGGATATAGGAGTGCCTTAAGGATTTCATGTCACTGTGGGAGAGCCATTGCAAGAAATAGTAATGCTTTGGCAATACATATACCCAAGTGCTGAACTTGGGTGCTCAATGAATCAATACAATTTTGCAATTTGTTAGGTCTGAGAAGTTTACAAAGAAAATCAGAACTATTTCAGTTGCTGAATAAGCAAGACAGAAAAATGAACTGTCTGAAATCACCCAACAAGCAGCGATAGACCAGAGAACAAAACCAGCTCCTGCACGTCCCTGTCCCAGGCTTTGCCTCGTCACCTCTGCTTACATATGGTAGTTCAAACAGACACTGGGTTTCAGGAGAGCTTTGCAGAAAGGCTACAAGTTGACATGCTACATTTGAAGTTCTGAGAAGGAAGATGTCTGGCCAGGCTGGGTGTCCAGTACGTTTCTCTACTGAAACATTTTTAGGTGATGTCTTGTGCACAAGTTACTACTTGTTCAGCTGCTTTAGATGACACTGGATGGGGAAAGTGTCTCTCTGGGCACTAACATAACACAGCATTGAATTCTGACTAGTGATCACATATCTACTAGTCTAAAAATGTGCATAAATGGTTACTTACCCAAGTCTGGCCCCTTTCATTCATCTCCACAGAAGATTAACTACAAATGATGTAAACATCCCCAGCCTTCCACTGGGCTGCTTAAGTCTTTCTAATCCACAAAACTGTAAACAATTTTTATTTGTTGGCAGAGATTTAAATCCTCATAGTTTTGGATATCAGTCAACTCACAGGACTCACGGATGAGTTGAAGAAAGTTAGACTTTTGATCCTCAAGGATGGCTGACACTGACTCTTAGCAAAGAAATGATCCAAGATCCAGGCATTGCTCCATTCCAATATGGATCCTACAACTACAAAACACTTCACCAATTTTGGACTTTTTACCAATTTGCAAGTATATAACTAACTGCTTGAAAACATAAGGGTGTTGCGAGAAGCTCAGCCCAGGAGCAGGGAGACAGAGATGTGGGACTCACAGCCCAGCACTGTTCATGGAGACGCAGCTGCTTCCTCCCCTTGTCCGATTCCTTCTTCCCTGCTTAGTGCTGAGAAACCTTCCCAGTCTAACAAGGACCCACACTTCAGTGTTTGAGCTTTCAAGTGCGCAACAACAAACAACTTGAGCAGGAAAGAGCATTTAGGAACTTGCTTCTCTTACCTCAAGCCTGGTTCTGTCTACATCTTTTAGTATTTTATTTCGCCCTCTGTTGGTCACCATGAGCATTTCATATGGAAAAATCTGTTAACAATGTATAAAAGGGGGAAAAAGAGATGTATTTACATTCTAAAGCAAAAAAGAACACGTCTCTTTTTTTTCATAACCACACAAACATTTGGTTTCTTTTTCAAAGGAAATCACAACACTTTTGTCCCCTAAAGTTGCATGAAAGGCAAGCCAGTGTGGACAACAGCAAGAACTTGGTTAGTATCAAACTGCCTCATATTGTAGAGCCACTGTGTATTTGCCCACCCTGCTGATTTTTATGATGCATAAAATACAGCTGACTTTGGTCAGACTGTCCTCTCTAGTCAATATGCTTCCTCATCCAGCAATGTATAAACTTGAGAGTTTATTGAGGTTTATTTGGCACTCATTGGTCTGACTGATGGTTGCCAAAGTGTGGACAGCTCTAAGGAAACAGACACTTAGCAGACTTCTAAAGATGAACCACATGAAAGAATACCAGAAAAAGCAGCAACTCTGAATAAGTAAAATACTGATTAGTGGGGGCCACTACATTCATGAAAATTCATCACATTATTTTCTTTGCCTTTTTGGACAGTTACAGAATTCAAACAACTGCCCACTGTGCTTGCTGGCTGGGCAACATACATCTGGATTAAAGCAGACACTTTTGTAGGCATGTTTGTCGTACACATCTTCATCTACTTCAGCAGAGTATGTGTCCAGCACATCTCCCATTAACATTTCCCTTGCTTTCCATTTACGTTGCAAAGAACGTCCAGAACTTATACAAATCAGTTACTGGCTAATAATCAATTCCTGAACGCATAAATTATTTTACTTTTGTTTTACAGGTTCTTTGCATGAAGGAAAAATTTTACTGTCAGTGGGTCTCAAATCAGTTTAATCCAATAGAAACAATGATGCCTAGAAAGGGTTTCAGAAAATCATGTGCCTTAAAATCAGTTTCTGGAATCACTCTTGGCAAATAAAATTCTGCTTTAGGATTTTTTTCCTTGGGCAGACAATTCCATAAATGCCTGTAATGACTTAGAAGAGCTCCTGTTCCATCTGTCAGAGCCTCTCTATAGCCTCTCTCATTGCATATGTCTGCTGAGTAGGAAAACAGCATTCCCAGTGAGGTTCTCATGCAACCTCTACTGAAGCAAATGAAGTTTTTCTGCAGACTTCAGTGGCAACTGGCTCAGCCTTTACTGTTATTTATGGGTCCTGTTTTACTTGCCCAGAGTGAGACCACCAAAGCTCTCCTGGAGAGACAGCTGAGCTATTATCAAACACTACTAATTCAATTATTTTAACATCAGAAGAAATTCAACCTAATCAACTTCTGTGCACAATTAGGCAATTAAGTTCATTCCATTGCCAGCATTTATCCCAATGAACTTTTCAGAAATATAATAAATAAGATTCAGGCATCAATGAACACACCACTGAGTTTATTGTGAGTAATAGTAACTTAAATAACGTGTGCTTACATACCAACTGTAAGATATGACTCTTAGGAGATTCTGACATTGTCACAATTGTACAATTAAGTCTATACTTTGAATTACATTGTTTATGTTTGATACTGGAAACAGCTACCATATACAGCATCATAGGAAACTAAAATGTAACTTGTCATATTTAAACAGGCAGAATTTAAGTCAAGATCTATGGTCGTAAGTACATTTTATATATAGATATTCACAACAAGGCATGTCTCAATCTGGGGTGGCAGGATGCACAAATTCTGTCCTTTCTGGAGAATCATTTGGTAAGAATTGGTCATTCTTAAGTTTATTAATTTTCACTTTACATATGTTTCGTGCTGAATCTGAGTTGGCTTCTCTTACTTTATGAGGTTTAAGTTATGTTGGACCATTGACATGAATAAAAATACAGCCAATTCTCACAAGCTGAGAGTTTGGCATCACCTTCATAGCCATCAACAGAAAGCAACCTATTATCTCATGAAAATTCCCATAAATTTTATCACTAATAATACTGACAGAATTTGTCACCCAAAATAACATTCCAAATCACTGGGTGCATCAAAAGCAGCGGTGGCTGTAAGAATTTCTATTGCACTGAAAGAGATCTTACTTGGAATGAAAAGTAGAATCTCAGGAGTTGGGGATGTCCCTAAAGTCTTACTTATAATATATATAAATACACTTGTTAATATACATTGCACTGGGGTCTCAGCTTATAAAGCTGGGATTATTGCCTTGTACAGTTTGTCTGGAGGTGACTCGGAAGCACAAGTAGTAATCTAGTTTGCAAAAAGAGCTCCTCACTTAACTGCTGACATGCTGATCTTTGTAACTTCGGCAAAATCATGATTTCTTGGAAGGTTCATCATCAACAGAGAAAGTTATAAGATTTAAAACACAGCCCTGGTTGAATCCTCTCTGTATATTATGTTCAGTTTTGACTCAGACATCTCTACACATAGCTGCAAAAGCATTTAAATTTATATCTTAAATTATATTCAGTTGACATTGCCTCTTTTTCCAATAAATCTCCTGAAGAATTTCTCATATAGGGAATTCAACATTATTGAAAGGCGTCAGGCTAACAGTGCTGAGAGCTAAAGAACAGATCCAGACAGACATGTAGGTACCCAACTTTCAATTCAAAACAAAGATCCATGTATTTAATTAATTTTTAAAACAACACAGCCTCAACAATTACCACAATATTCTGCATCGTTTATCCAACCTGACAGATTTGAGGCTTTCTTTTTGAGTTCAGCCCACTGTTTTGGCTAGTGGAAGCTTGACAGAGAACTAGCTATTGAGCATCTTCGGTATCTTTGTTTTGTCTCTGGAAAAGCATCCTTAACCCAAGCAGCACACCCGGGCCTGCCTGAGTTCTAACACCTGTAACAGGCGAAGTCCAGAACAAAGGGAGAGGTTTGGCACATAAGGAGCAGGGACTGAGGTGAGGTAAAGCAAAACAAGGGAACTAAGACATTTCCTGCATTTTATCTGCATTTCACAGTCAAATCTTCACTGTCTTGAAGGAAAGTGAATAACATCTGCACTTGCCTTTGGCTCCAACATGTTAGGCATAGATACTCCTCTGTCCATTCTCATTCCAGGGACATGACCATCCGGAAGCGACTGCATCAGATACAGGTATACATCAGACACATAGGTTACACACACAGAGGGTAAAGGCACTCAAGTAGTGGTGAAAACAAAGGTGAACTTGCCCTGAGACTTCCTTCAAGTTTTAATATTTAGTCTTATCACAGAGATCATTGCCACCGCTACTGTTTACCACTTCTCTGGGGCATGCAGAGGGATCCTTTGATCCTCTGTGCCACCACAGGCTTCTGTCACTGCTAAGGCTGGCGATAGCCCCTCGCCCAGCCCACCAACATCACTTTCCAGGTGGCGACCCCAAGAGTGGTGGACCCTTTCCCACCCCAGTGACTAAGCAGGGTTCTTTTCTGGACAAATATGCAGAAGCATTAATTCAGATCCCACCCAATAGCATACAGAGCAGGGATTACACCTCTGGGATTTCCTTCCTGTCACTTACTGTATCAGCTGAGGGTTGGGTTTTTTTTGTCTCTATAATGGGAAATTTCTACTATGAGGATAAACAGGGATAAAGTAAAAAGGTGCCGTTTTGACACGGGTACTGTTCCTAACAAAATAATGTTTTGAGCCCGATACATGGACAACTCCTCTCTCCTCCCATAATCTTACTCTCTTTCCAATCATCATGATTTTAATACACCATTAACAAAATTATCCAAGTAATAAAATCCTTTCTTAAATTGCCATTTCATGTTGTGATTGTGCTGAGGAGCCAGCCAGACTCAAACCATTCTGAAAAAACCCTGCAGACAAGATTTGGTTAAAAGGGTTTATATTTGCAAGCACACCTCTTACTGGCTCATCTGTGATGGCAGCACTGTAGAAAACTATTGATCAGTCATCTTGTCTGGAGAGCAAATTCCAGGTTAAAACTGAGGAGTTCAAGGCTCCTGGTGTGGGAGAAAATTTGTCTCCAGAAGAGACTTTCTTTATGTCTCCAGAGTCGGTACTAGAGAGGCTGGAAATAAATCCAGCCTCAGCTGCCCAGGGAGGACTATTACAGATAACTCATATATCAACAGACAGTGGATTTTACAGAGCAAGTCACAGAACTGGTGTGAGCTGTCTCAACCCAGCTCTGGGGAGGTAAAAAGGAAGAATCTGAGGCTGTGCCTGTTTTTTGTTGATAAGAGTCTACATTGGTGATTATGCTTAAACATGCAGGAAAATCAAAGCTACTGTGTTAAGAAACCCTTCCCTGTAGCAGAAATTCAAACTTCAACAAGAAAGTAGATGCTTTTAGTTCTGTTGTCAGTTGATCGATGGAAATCTGTACTCTACCTGGAAATCTGAAAAGCAAAAGAGAAATCTCATCAGCTTTAGAGTGGAAGAACTGGAATCAGTCACAATCTGAGAGAAAATCCTTGCATCTTCTGGTCTACCTGATCTTTTCAAAATCCCCCCCAATTCTCCAAGGCCAGCAACCTTCCTACTTTCAGACTTAGTTTGTAAAGAAACAAACGCTCCAAACATTGCAGCCCTTTTCATTTTGAGCAGGCTTCTCATTCAGGAAAATCAAGTCACTTTGGAAATACTAAGAGACACAAAACCACAATCAAGTGAATAAATAGCCAATTAAAATTCAAATGTGTAGACCAGGAGTCACCTCACCTAACCTCTGTCATTAGGTAGATGTCTAGATTCCTCCACAGTCTATAAGGAGACACAAGCACCAACAGAAGATGCCTGATCGTAAGGTATCTACCATAGTCAAGATCAATCTCACTTTGGAGATAACTAGACTCTCTCTCTCATAGCTCTAACAATTTCAAAACATTAACTCTCATAGTTTCAAAACATTAACTCTCATAGTTTCAAAACTTTCATAAATACTGTCAATTTTTATTAGGCAATGACTGATATCACATTCAGCTCAAAGTCATAATGAATATCATGAGCAGCAATGAGGATTAAAAGGCATTATCCTCCTTTCTTCACTGTGGCACATTCTTTCAGACTGTGCAGTGGATGATGATTTTCAGAGAAAGAAAACACCATAACAGAAGTCAGTACATATTCCTGATAATATACAAGTTACCTGCTTTCCATTTGCACCAATGCTAAAGTAGTGTCTTGGCACAAACAAGGATGAGCTCCACGTAACAGATTTAGCAAAACAGACCCAAACTTCTAAATGGGTATTTGCAGAGTTTAATTGTTGAGTTTACCAGAGGAAGTAAAAATGTACTGAACAAATACAAAGCAACCA